TACATAAAAAATTATTATAATTATAAAATATAAATTGTGTGCAATATGTAAGATATATCAGGCATTATTTCTATATATTGTAAAAAAAAAGGCATAATAGATATTAATATTATATTTAAAACAATTTTATAACATTGAACAAATAATAATTAATATTAAATATATATCTCACATAAACGTGTAATATATTATAAATAATATTAATTCTCTTTGATATAAGTATTATTAATTCTTAATATTATAAAAGGAAAGAAACAAAAAGAGAAAAAGTTTCTATATTAAAACTAAAAATTGAAATGCAATATTGCCTCATTAACAGGAAAATGCTCACAACTGACCATTTTCTATTTATGAAACAGTGGATTTATTTACTTTCCGAAAACTGTTCCATAAATCTTCTCAATAGCTCATTGAAATAAAAACGAAATGGAAATAAGAGCAAATGGAAAAGAATAAAAACAAATGAGAAAGAATAAGATCAAAGAATTTTCGATATCAAAGTTAGAATGCTGCCAGATATTGATAGATAAGACACAAGAGACTACTTTTAATTTATAACATAATATTCAAGTCACGCGTTTTAATAATGTTGTAAATTGGCTTTGTATCAAATGCTTAAAAATCAGTATAACATGATATTGTAAGCACAAAATGCGCAAAAAAACTGCCATGTACTTACGATATCGCCAAACAACGGAGACGAGACATTGTCGCTTATTATTAATTTAAAAATATATGATATTTTTAATGGCGTACTTAAGTTCTAAACAGTACAACAGTGATCAACCTACTGACCAGAATGTTGCCACTTTTCGTTCGGAAAATTTTTGCGATAAGCAAAAACGTATTCGAATTACAATAGCGAGTCATTATATTATTACTTCATCATACTATTACAATTGTTATCGCGATGATCGTCAATCAATATTGGTCGAATTATGTTCATAAAGTAAAAAATTAAAATTAAAAACATAAAAAATTATATTGTTTTAACATCATATGTGTACGATAAGAATATTTTATAAAACTAAGACCAATCAGAATCTCTATAACATGATATCATCATATGCAATGTGATCGAAGAGAGAAAATGAAATATATAATAAAGTTAAACCTTAGATTCAGTTTCAAATTACGAAATCTCACCTTAACAGAGGACCCGACTCGCCCTTAAAGCTAATCCTGCTACAGGCTCTTCTCTTAAACGTGCTCAAAATATCCCGTTTCTTCCGATTGACGGGTTCACCTGTTTCCTCCGCGGAATCTTCACCGCATAAATTTACTGCGACTGTGGCTGCCGGCATCGACGTATGCATTAATAATTCGTTCAAGGGTGCAGTTGTGGGATCTATGGTAGTTGAGGGTTTGTCCTCGGGGGCCACTCTTCTTCGATCTTCTCTTAATCCATTTACAATCAATGTCCCATTTTTAGGACGCCAATTGATAAGAGATAATTGATAATTGACTATTATAAAATTATACAGCTTGATAATTTAATTAGAATTCAATTTTTAAATAGATCTTTTTAAAATTAATTAGAATTAGTTTTATAAAAATCGATTATCTTTTTTGAATAAAATAGGAATATTTTTTTGTTCTCTATTTCATGATTTCTTTTCTTTATTAAGAACTTCAGAGATTTAAAAATTTGTTTAAGAAGAAAGACTGTCTTAATATAATCAAATATAAAATTTTATATATATATATCTATA